CACGCTATAATGCTTTTAATATTCAATTATTATGTAAAATTTTAACTGAAATTCACTTAAATCAATTTGTATTAGAAAATTCTACGAGAATTCAATTATTTAAATAAAAAAATAAATAATTTATATTCAATAATTGAATGTTTCTTAATATTAAATTCTCATAAAGAATTTTATCAACAAACTTTAAAATAATTAAATTTTTTCGACGAATTTTGATAAAATTTATTAAAATAATTACATTCTTCGAGAATTTAATTAACATTTGAATGAAATTGTACTAAAAATAATTGAAATTCTGCGATGAGTTTGATTATTTATGAAAATAATGGAATTATTGCGAAGAAATTTATAAAAAAAAATATGTAAATAATAGAATTCTTGTGAAATTATTTTATTATTTATGAAAAGAATTAAACGTTTGCATAGAATTTTAAGGAAATTTTTTTTATAATAATAATTTAATTCTTTTGGAAAATTTTATTAAAATAGATATTGAATATCATTGAATTTAGGAAAATTTTTGCAAATAATTCAAATTTTGCCTGGAATATTATTTAAATTTTTGAAAATAATTGAATTTCGAAGAAGAATTTTATTATTTTTAAAGAGAATTGAAATTTTGACGAGAATTTCTTTAAATTTTTTAATATAATTGAATTTCTGCGAAGAATTTTATTATTTTTGAAAATAATTAAATTTGTTCAATTTTTTGAAATTTTACCAAAATTCAGATTTTAAAAAATTTTTTTAACTAAAATTCTTCTATAAATTCATTATTTTTAACAATTAAATAAATATATATATATATATATTAAAAAATTTAACTAATTTCAGAATTATTTAGATTTTAAATATTTTTGCAAAATTTTAAGTTATTTAGAATTTCTAATGAAATTCATTCAAAATTGAAATTTTACAATATTTAAAATTAAAATCTTTTCAAGTTCATCTATTTATGAAAAATTGTAAACAAAACTATTTTAAAATTCAATTAGTGCGATATCGCTTGGAATCAGTGAAATTTCACTATTAATTCAGATTTAGAAAGTACAAATTTAATCACATTCTTTGCATATATAATCTAAATTGTAGACAATAAAATATTCTTGAATTCATGAAAAAAATAATCTTGATTTGAAAATATTAATTTCCCCAAATTTGAGGTTATGTTGATGTAAATGTTAAAGTTTTTAGTAATGATTTTTAGGTTAGAATACTGTGAACGCGCTGAGCGTGAGGTTATCCTGACGATTATTTATAAACTAATTTTCCGAACAGAGAAGTTTTTGTTTTAATCAGATTTTAATTTATACTTTTAGTCAATTTAATTGGATTTTCATAAACCAAATAGAAAAAAAATTTGCCCGATTTAGTATAAGAAAATTGCTAAATTGGTCTCACTATCTACCCACTAAGTCAGTACTCTCAAGGTGGTCTCGTCTAAATATAGCCGAGTGTTGCCGAGAATAACACATAAGCCGACGAGCCGGCCGGCAATGTCCAAAGCTCAACAACGTTTCTCTCCATCGATGAGAAACATCTAAATTAAAAATCATTTTGAATTTAAAAAAAAAAAAAGATTTCAGATTCTTAATCAGGCACCACAAATACCTCCCTAGTGACAAATTTATCATGAAAGATTAATTAGAACTTTTTTAATTTTGTCCACCATATTAGATTTTGTTGAATTTTATTAAAATTTGTCCGCCATTTTGAATTTTGAAAATCTGATGTCAGATTCGTAATCAGCGACCCCAAAAACCCCCGAGTGACACATTTCAACCAAATCTGGTCAATTAATAAATTTTTGTCCGCCATATTGCATCCGCCATTTTGAATTTTTGAAATCCGATGTCAAATTCGTAATCAGCGACCCCAAAAACCCCTGAGTAACAAGTTTCAAGCGATTCCGTCGAGTTCTCAAAAAATTCATCTGCCATATTGGATCCGCCATTTTGAATTTTGAAAATCCGACTTCAAATACGTTACCGCTGACATAAAACATGTAATGACTTGAAAAATATTCAAAATACATTTTTTCCCAGTCCTTAGTTCTGAAATTCACCAAAATTTTGTCGGCCTGCATAATTAAATGACTGGCAATTGTTGGTGAATTCTTTTTCTTTAGGATTCAAATATATACATGTATATATTTCACGGAATGTTAAAGACTCTATTCGAGAAAAGTCACGCTTGTGATGGAATCTCTATACATTCCAAGAGAGTTTTTCAGCGACATCCGATCTTTGAAAGCCTCCCGTTATTTTAGTTTGCCCTTCGGCTTCAAACAAGTAGCAACAGGTGTTTGATCTTCCGTTACGCATCTTGTATATACATATATTTATACAAGAAAGTTCTTCAAGTTTTGCAACATTTTAAAATTAGTTTTTTTTTCAAACCCTCACTTCTCTTTGCAAAATTCCCTACACATTAAAAAATTTGAGCGGAAAAAAAAATTGCCACCTTTTTGCAAATTATAATTTCTTTTCATAGGAAAGAAGGGAATTACCGAAAGATTGAATTAAAATAACAATAACGATTGTAACAATAATATTATTAATCTATGGTAATATTATTATGAACAGTAATGTTGATTGAACTTTCAAATTAGATGAAGAAGACTAATTAACTCCTTGCTACAAAAGTTTATCTCATAAGAAGTTGATTTTATTTTTCCCAGCATGTGAAAACTGGTTTATATAGTAAAACAGTTCCTGAGCAATTAAACCTATTGCAATTTGCTAATTAGAATCAACTGTTCTTGTTAGATTTGATCTCCAATGTGGCGATTTGTGAAAACTCTTTCTGAAAACGTTAAGAAAGGTAAATATCTAAATCTAGCGTTAGCGGTACCACGCACGAGCGTAATAGGCTTTGTCGAGATCTATCGTAGGTCTAGTAGGAAGCAAGGTAGGTTGCTCGATAGGCAAGATAGTTGAGTGAGATAGGTAATTTATGTAGGATTTGTCGGCAGGTATCAACCTACATTAACAACAGGTGTGTTTGTTGACTTTTATTGAGTACACTGCAAAATGAGGCATGTGTCCTTTTTTATGTCACCATTGTCGGGAGTATTTATTTATTTACTGATATCATCAGAATCTGATGAGGTCGACGATGGAGTCACTGATCGTTTTTTGCGACTTAGTCGGTACCCAACACTCTTTTACAATTTCGAACCATCTATGAACACTAAAAACTAAATTAGATGATAACTTCACCCAAAAAGAAAGTTTTGTTCCTAATATCCCCAATGTTGCGCATAGCACCAGTAATAGATGTAATTGGATGTAAGATAGTTGCCTCTAGACAAACACTACGAATGCAGAAGGGCAACAACGTTTTACAGGTTCTGATGATCATCGCGAAGCAAGGAGAAGAGAAAGTGCAAACATAGCAACCTACAAATAGAGCGAGTCTGTTTTCAGCAATGCTTCTGACATGATTACTTCAGAAATTGTAATAGAGACAGAGACAAGTGCATTAAGCTGGGGGAAGATTTCCATTTTCAAATTTTTCCCTGTTTGGAAAATTTTTCAATTGGAAATAGAGAGGGAAATGATGAAGTCTTGTGAGGTGCAGAAGAATGTCAACATGACAATCAAGGATAAAGTGAAAAGTTTAGGAATGATCGTGGATCGTCAATTCAAGGCAAATCACAAGGTTTGCCTCAGCAGAAGGCGTTCTGCTCTGCCAGAGAACCTAAGGGGTTGGTCTAGTCAGAGGACCCCTAAGGGATGTGCTCAGAATCCTGAAGAAGAAGAAGAAGGACTCCAAGTAGTCCAGTAGCTCAGGGTAAGACGTATGCTGATGTTTTGGGTAAACTTCGCAAAGAAACCAAAAGTAGGCGTCCAAACTCAGGTACCTCGGGATTTTTCAAGGAAAAATTAAAAACCACCCGGTGGAAGTGACCCAAAGTCTAATCTGCCTTTGAAGAAATTATGATAAGAATTTCTCCAAAGTAGACTTTGCCAAAATAGAGTACTTTCCCAAAACCTAAGATAATTTTCCTAGATACCTATAGGGTCCTGGGTATCAACTGGACTAACTAGGAAACCAGGACCCTTACCCTGCCTAGAAAAATTATCTTAGCAAAAATTTATAGAAGTCCACCCGGACCGAAAAATTCAAAACCTCCAGAATAAATGAAACAGCCACAGGCATAAATAAGTCATTTTAGAAAACATACATAATGAATGTGAATGGAAGCTAAAGAGGCAAACCGCTGAAAGAGTGTGACATGATTGAAAATTCAAAGAGGCTTGATGAAGACTCGTTTATGTTCTTCGCGTCGGCATAAAAAGGGCGTGTGTGTGTGTGCAATAAAAGCAAGATATGAAAATTTTGAAATTAGTACGTTTCGCATGAGTCCCCGGAGGGTGTACGGCAAAACCCATTGGCGGTGGTCGCCGTTAAAAGAAGAACTGACCCCGAGTTGTCAAGTTTAATTTATATGTTAATGAGCACATGTCACATTCCAGCATGAAGCTTTCTCTCTCTCTTTCTCTCTTCATGTGCACTTTCAGAGTTGTCCGTTCATTTCATTCCATGCTCCCCTATCTCCTTTCGTCCATATAGTTTATATTTAACCGCGTGTTGCGTTGCATCTTCCTCCACCTCATCAGCATGTACATATTGTATGTATTAAATGCGCTGTGTTTGCAACATAATATACAGAACACTGACACTAAGTGTGTTCTACAGACACAATGCTGGGTTACTTATGAATCTCACTCTCGTTAATCAAAATTTAATCCTAGTCTAGTCTAATTAGGTAAAAGAAGGTAGGTAAGGGCCGACCATAAGTTACCAATTTTTTTTTTAATACTCTTTAGACCCCACCCTCCAAATTGGTGACGTAGTTTATGAAAGACCCCTAACTATCCAAGTAAAAGAAATTCAGGGTTAAAAATTATAATTAATAAGAATAGTAACAATAATTATTATTTCAGTGAATAAAAAAGGTTTGTCTACATTAATAAAATTAAATTTTGTTAAAGAAATGTTCCGATGACAAGGCATCAGCAATAAACACCTTTGCACGAACTGAACCACCGGATACTCAAGTCACAAAATCTGTAATAGCTCTATTACTACATTATGATTGGAACAAATTTACCATCATCGCGGAAAAAGAGTGGTCGACCGTCGCTAAATCACTTGAGGAACAAGCCAATAAGCACAATTTTACCATCAATCATCATAAACGCGTTGAAGATGGACATGTTTGCTGTACAGAGAGACTTCCATGCTGTCAAGTCGGCAGGTGGTTTCAACTTATACAAGAGACGAAAAACATGACTCGAAGTTAGTAATACTTTTCTTCACGCAATTATAGCAAAATAAAAAGAAAACATCTATATTGACGCGCTCCGAAGAAAGGTAGCTGAGAAGCGAAATATTGTTTGTGTTTAAAATATTAAAATTTTAATTTTTTAAAACCAAATGGAGTTTTTGTCAATTATTTCTGATGTAATAAAGACACATCAGTGGTTTTTAAATTTGTATTTTTATAACAAAAATATAACTTACATTTTTTTTTTGCTTTAAGTATACCTTTCTTCGAAGAGCGTCACAAACAAATTTTTTTTCATATTTAACATCAATCCTAGAAGGAGTATGTGAATTCACTCACACTCTAAGGAGTAACTGAGGTAACCCGGCACCCCACGATTTAAACTTGTTTTATAAGGTTTCTATTTGACGTAAAAAAAATTATTTATAGTGAATTTGATTGGTCTTCTAGTAAGGAATACAATAATATTATCCACATTTTGATAAATTAGAAAAAATTTGAAAAAAAAACCGTAAAAACCCAAAAAAAAATACCAAAAAATTGCAAAATTGACTTTTTTCACAAAAAAACGCTGTAGTTTCTTAGAAATTTGACTAATTTAAAAACTATTTTAGGTTTTTAAAGTTAAATAGATGCACATTTAGGGAAAAAAATTAGTTTTTGTATTACTTATAAAAGCATAATTATTTGAACATCTGAAGGGTTCCTACAGAATCTGGAAATCATGGAAATCATGAAACTGGTATGGGATTTTTCAAAAGGCTTCTGGAAATCATGGAAACGGCCTAAGATTTTTAAAAATTTCTAAATTTTCCCTTTTTTCCATTTTTTTCTTTTCAATAGAATTAGAAATTTTTTTACCAAAGGGTGGAGACTATGAAATAAGTAAAGTGTTTTTAAAGAGCACAAAAATAATGAAGCTAAATCCCATAAAAGAGAGGAAACAAAAATGAATTTTAAGAAATTCGGATTTTTGAATTTTTGATAATTTTCGATAATTTTAGATTTTTTACCAAAGAGTCGAGACTATTAAATAAGTAAAGTATTTTCCAAGAGCACAAAAATAATGAAACTAAATGCCGTAAAAAAGAAGAAAAAATGTTGAATTTTAAGAAAATCGGATTTTTGAATTTTTCGAATTTTTGATAATTTTAGATTTTTTACCAAAATGTCGAGACTATTAAATAAGTAAAGTATTTTTCAAGAGCACAAAAATAATGAAGCTAAATCCCATAAAAGAGAGGAAACAAAAATGAATTTTAAGAAATTCGGATTTTTGAATTTTTTCGAATTTTTGATAATTTTAGATTTTTTACCAAAATGTCGAGACTATTAAATAAGTAAAGTATTTTTCAAGAGCACAAAAATAATGAAACTAAATGCCGTAAAAAAGAAGAAAAAATGTTGAATTTTAAGAAATTCGGATTTTTGAATTTTTGATAATTTTCGATAATTTTAGATTTTTTACCAAAGAGTCGAGACTATTAAATAAGTAAAATATTTTCCAAGAGCACAAAAATAATGAAACTAAATGCCGTAAAAAAGAAGAAAAAATGTTGAATTTTAAGAAATTCGGATTTTTGAATTTTTGATAATTTTTAATCATTTTTGATTTTTTACCAAATAGTGAAGACTATTAAATAAGTAAAGTGTTTTTTGAGAGCACAAAAATAATGAAGCTAAATGCAGTAAATGAGATGAAAAAATGTTGAATTTTAAAAAATTCGGTTTTTCGAATTTATGATAATTTTAAAAAATTTTTTATTTTTTACCAAATAGTGAAGACTATTAAATAAGTAAAGTGTTTTTTGAGAGCACAAAAATAATGAAGCTAAATCCGGTAAATGAGATAAAAAAATGTTGAATTTTAAAAAATTCGGTTTTTCGAATTTTTCATCATTTTAAAAAATTTTAATTTTTTACCAAATAGTGGAGACTATTAAGTAGGTAAAGTGTTTTTTAAGAGCACAAAAATAATGAAGCTAAATCCAGTAAATGAGATAAAAAAATGTTGAATTTTAAAAAATTCGGTTTTTCGAATTTTTCATAATTTTAAAAAATTTTAATTTTTTACCAAATAGTGGAGACTATTAAATAAGTATAGTGTTTTTTAAGAGCACAAAAATAATGAATCTAATTGCAGTAAATGAGATGAAAAAATGTTGAATTTTAAAAAATTCGGTTTTTCGAATTGTTGATAATTTTAAAAAATTTTTTATTTTTTACCAAATAGTGGAGACTATTAAGTAAGTAAAGTGTTTTTTGAGAGCACAAAAATAATGAAGCTAAATCCAGTAAATGAGATAAAAAAATGTTGAATTTTAAAAAATTTGGTTTTTCGAATTTTTTATAATTTTAAAAAATTTTTATTTTTTACCAAATAGTGGAGACTATTAAATAAGTAAAGTGTTTTTTAAGAGCACAAAAATAATGAAGCTAAATGTAGGAACCCTGTAATTCAGCAAGGGTCCTGGTGGCAAGTGGACTAACTAAAAAAGTTCATTAATAAGAAAACGATAGGTTTTTTCGAGGTTTTGAACATTCGAGGATTTATATTCATTATTTATTTATTTATTATTTATTCATTGCTTATTTATTATTTATTTATTATTTATTTAAGTATCAGCGGGCTTACAAAAATAAAATTTTAAAAAATATTTTTAAAAAATGATGTTTTATAGAAAAACATGTCAATTAACAAAATATATAAATATTCAGTAATAATTTAAAAATTTTCTTTTCTAGTTTATATTTTTTTGGGAACCGCGTTATCATTGTGGGACTTTATGACATCGATGCAAAGTCAAAGGCTCTTGGATAACGGAGAATATATGGTCATTTTTGTCGACATGACGTATTCACAAAAAGAGGCGCAGAGATACTTATGGAGTGAGTTTATTATTATTTTATTTTCTTCTCTCGAGCATTAAAATTATTATGGCAAATTATATTATTATTATTATTATTCGTAAAATTTAATAACGAAACTTACTGTTTTACCTTGAATTCGACAGGACCCGACGACCTCAATACATTGAAAAATTGTCTCGAACCCAAGGACTTCCTGAAAAAGGCTCGATCTCTTCTGGTTGTTGTTTCCACCCCACCTGCTCAAAATTACGAGGAATTCATCAAGAAAGTCCGCGAATATAATATCAAGGAACCCTTTAATTTCGTTACACCAGAATTATTCATTACTGAAAAATTCCAAAAGGTATATAATATATGAAAAAGAAAATTGCAATGAAAATTTTTTGAATCTACATTCCTGGAGATAAATTACAAAAATTGAAAATATTCAAAATTTTCTCCTGTGTATAATAGAATTTTTGAATTTTTCTCATTTTTCAGCATGTACCAATTCATGCGGCGTATCTTTATGATTCCGTGAAACTTTATGCAAGGGCGCTTGATCAACTTTTGCGTAATAATCCTGAGAGTACATTAGAAGAAATTGTCAGCAATGGAACTCAGATAATAGAAACTATTATTAAAAATCATACATATCAAAGTTAGTGTACTAAAATTAATTTTATAATCGAAGAAAGCAAAAAAAAAAAAAAAAAAAATTGGATATTAAATTATTTTTTTTTCTTCTAGGTGTAAGCGGCGCTGTAATCAAATTAGACAAAGACGGCGATTCAGAGGGGAATTTTTCAGTTTTAGCTCTTAAAAAAGATCCATTTCGATTGTTTAACTTTTCCTGTGATTATCAAATGAAACCAGTCGGTCAATTTCAGCAAGGTGAAACTCTAGTGAGTGAGTCATTTACAGCATCCATTCAGATTATTTTGTATCAATTCTGAAATTGGATCAAAATCATTGAATTCTTGAGGAAGGGAAAATTTCCTTTGTTTTTTGATTCAATTTGTCGTGAAAATTATTTTTTTTTCAAAACTGTTTTTATTACTTCTTCTTTATTACTTATTTATATTATTTCTATTTTACATCCTCATAGAGGAAGTATTTTATTTTTAATTTATTATTTTTTTTATTCTTAATTTACTCACATTTTTTATGATTAATATTTCTTTATAATTTTTCTTTGATTACTTATTTCTTTTTTATTACTTTTCCATTTATTTATTACTTTTTCTTTTATTAATTACTTTTTTTGCGTTTTGCTTATTTATAAAATTAATATAAGAAATCTTATTCTATTAACTGATTTCGTAAAAATTAAAATAATAGAAATAAAGATTTGGAATTCTTTGGGGGGGGGGGATTTAATTACAAAATATTGAATTAAAAAGTGATTTTTTTATAATATTTGAATTATGGCTAGATTTTTTAAAAAGGGAATTGCTTTTTTTGAACAGGTTTATCGACCGTCGGAAGCAATGGATTGGCCAGGTAAAAATAAACCGGAAGCGGAGCCAGGCTGCGGTTTTCTAAATGAACATTGTCCACAAGATGATATGCATCTTCGTAGCATAATAGCCGCTGGCGTTTTAGCGGCTTTATTATTTTGTGCCACTGTAGTTACAATAAGTATATATCGTCGTTGGAAAATCGAACAGGAAATCGAGGGATTACTTTGGAAAATTGATCCAAACGAAATACACGGTTATCCCTATTTGGACAATTTGATGTCGTCGCCTAGTAAAGTACGTATTCAAAACTATTATTAAAAAATAGAAACAATTTTATACGTATTAATATTAATATTAATTAATATTATTATTAACTATTAATTACTATTATTATTAATGTTAATTATTGTTAATTATTATTAAAACAGGCCTCGGACATTTTCAACTTTTTATCAACTTTTTTTCAAAAATTGTCACTTTTTTCCACCTTTTTTCAAAATTTGCAACTTTTTTCGACTTTTCTTCAAAATATTGCAACAAAATACCAGATTTTTTTATTATAAAATCCAACTTATTTCGATTTTTTTTTTTTTGTGAAAAAATTGAACAATAGACAAATCTTTTGAAAATGATTTGTTAATAATTTTTCAAAAATATTCCTATACAATTAAAAAAATATTGAATAATTGAAATTATGCAAAATTTAATTGAAAATATTTGATTTTTTTCGTAGTATTTTATGACAATTTTGGAAAATCAACTTTTGAAGAACTTTAATTGCGAAATTTGGAAAATAATTGATTTCTACAAAATTTTAATAAAAAATTTTCAAATTGAATTAAATTCTTTGCAAGAATTAAAATTTTTTTAAAAGGAATAATAAAGATTCTTTGCAGGAAATCAATTATTTTAAAAAATTTTAATTAAATTCTTTATAAGAATTGAAATAATTTCAATACAATTTTTATTAAATTCCTGGAAAAAATTCAATTATATTCGAAAATTTTAATTAAATTTTTATCAAAATTTAAATTATATTCATAATATTTATATCTAAAATATTTTGCAGGAATTTATTTATTTCAATGAATTTTAATAAAATTCTTTGTAGAAATTCAAGTACTTTGAAAACTTTTAATAAAATTATTCATGAGAATTTAATTATTTTCATAATTAATCAAATTCTTCGCAGGAATTTAATTAATTTCAATTAAATTTCTCAAAACGTGAAAAGATTTCAATTATTTTCCTAAATTTACCAAATTTTTCGCAGGAATTGAATTATTTTAAAGAATTTTAATCAAATTCTTCAAAAAAATTTAATTACTTTTAAAAAATTTTGATTAAATTCTTTATGAGAATTGAAATATCTTCTAAACAATTTTAATTTCAATTCCTCGCAAAAATTCAATTATTTTTGAAAATTTTAATTAAATTCTTAGCAAGATTTCAATTATTTTTCCGCAAATTTACCAAATTTTTCGCAGAAATTGAATTATTTTAAAGAATTTTAATCAAATTCTTCAAAAAAATTTAATTACTTTTAAAAAATTTTGATTAAATTCTTTATGAGAATTGAAATATCTTCTAAACAATTTTAATTTCAATTCCTCGCAAAAATTCAATTATTTTCGAAAATTTTAATTAAATTCTTAGCAAGATTTCAATTATTTTTCCGCAAATTTACCAAATTTTTCGCAGGAATTGAATTATTTTAAAGAATTTTAATAAAATTCTTCACAGATATTCAATTACTTTTTGAAAAATTTGAATAAAATTATTTATGAGAATTGAATTATTTTCATAATTAATCAAATTCTTCGCAGGATTTTAATTATTTTAAAGAATTTTAATAAAATTCTTCGTAAAAATTTCAATAAAATTCTTTATGAGAAAAAATTTAATTAAATACTTTGAAAAAAATTTAATTCTCTTTCTAAATAATAAAATTCTCCGCAGAAATTCAATTACTTTCATTTGAGATATGTATTAAAATTTCTCGAAATAAGTCAATTATTTTCATAAATAATAAAATTCTTGTCAAGAATTCAATTGTTTTTAAAAAAATTTTGATCAAATTTCAATTAGGTATTTTTAAAAGATTTTACCAAATTATAATTGGAAATTTTTTAACTGTACATATAATTAAAAAACTATTATCTTTCAATAATTATTTTAAAATATTTTTAGATGATTATTATAAGAATTTCTTTATTATAATTATTTGAAAATATTGTAAATTTAAAAAAACACGCATTGACTTTCGGAAAATTATTGAAAATAATTGATTTGAAGATAAAGTTTAGTTAAAAATTAAAGGAAGTAATTGAATTTTGGAAGGTGATTTTTAGAAATTATTAAAATTAATTTTTATTAATTACTAAATTAATTTTTTAAAATTATTTAATTCAATAATATAATTCAATACATTATTTTATTCAATATATAATTTTATTAAGAAGAATTAAAGAATTTTATTAAAATTCTTTAAAATAATTAAATTCCTGCGAAGAATTTGATTAATTATGAAAATAATTAAAATCTCATAAATAATTTTATCAAAATTTTTCAAAGTAATTGAATTTCTGTGAAGAATTTTATTAAAATTCTTTAAAATAATTCAATTTCTGTGAAAATTTTGATAAATTTAGGAAAATAATTGAAAGTGATTTTTAGAAATTATTAAATTTAATTCAATATAATTTAATATTTAATTTTATAAATTTTTAAAATTTTATTTCCCGTGAAACGACTTTTTTTGTATTTTTAATCGACTAGTGACTTTTTTTTGCGCCTGAAAGTCGATCCGAGGCCTGATAATATTATAAATGCTAAATCAATATATTACATTCGCTTCATTACCTACATAATTTTTTTTATGCTTTTTAATAAAACAATTTGTTTTTTTTTGAAATTTTTCAGTTAAGTTTAGTTAGTGCAATGTCTTATGAGTCGAGATGTGGAAATCAGGTGTTTGCACAAACGGGTCATTATCATGGTGTGGTTGTACGAATAAAGGAATTGAAATTCTCCAAGAAAAAAGACATTTCACGTGACGTTATGAAAGAGATGCGCGTTCTTCGTGAAATAAGACACGGTAATCTCAATTCATTTATCGGTGCGTGCGTGGAGCCAATGAGGATATTATTAATTACCGATTATTGTGCCAAAGGAAGTCTTTATGTAAGTGAAGGCAAAAAAGAAATATTTAATATTAATTTAAATAAAACAGGACCTTCTCATTTATTTCATGAGTATGTAAAATTAAATGAAAAGTCAAATAAAAATTTAAAAATATATTTATATATTTTTATTAATTTTATTAATTTTATTAATTCAATTAAATAAATTAAATAAATTAAAGCGAATGTTAAAATTTGAAATAAAAATAGAAAATAATTTCTTCTTTCTCCCTTTTTTTTGCAGGATATCATTGAAAATGAAGATATAAAGTTAGACGATATGTTCATTGCATCATTAGTTCATGATCTCATTAAGGTAAAGTCTTTAATTAACAGGAAGTATGTTTATTGAAAAAGAAATGAAAGTGAAAAAATGATGTAAAATAAAAGTTAATTAAAAAAATGATAAAATTCAAAGTTTACCATTTTGTAATATTGAAAAAGTTTGTAATATAAATAATTTATAGAGTTTATTGTAACGATTTGTAATTTGTTTCGTTTTGATGAGTATTTTTTTTTTAATAAAAATATTTTTTTTTCCAATTCAGGGTATGTTGTACATTCACGAGTCATCCGTACTAGTCTGCCATGGTAATCTCAAGTCTTCCAATTGCGTTGTGACTTCACGCTGGGTTCTTCAAGTTTCTGATTTTGGTCTTCACGATATGCGCCACTGTGCAGAATCCGATAGCATCGGTGAACATCAGTATTATCGAAGTAAATAAAGAATTTCTTTCCCTTTCTTTTTTCTCATTGAATAAAATGCGGTGGAAATATATTTATTTTCAAAGAAAAGAATAGTAAAACTAGTTTTCTATAATATGACAAACGTTAATTAAAAATTAAAAAATTCTTCTGAATTAAAAATCAGAGTTATAATTTTAAATTTAATTTAATATTCTAAAATATAAAAATTAATACTGAAAACTTATTGTAGAAAAACTAATTAATATTAATGCAAAATTCGATTTTATAAAAATTTATTTTATAAAAAACAACACTGGATTTTTATTTATTTTATTTATTTTTATGTCTTGTTGAATGTAAAATTAAAGAATTAATTTTATGAAAATTTTTATCACTTTGGTTCTAATAATTTCTAATAATAATAGTCACTTAAAAATTTTTGTAGAAAAACTAATTAATATTAATGCAAAAGCGGTTATTTTAAAATTTATTTTATAAAAATATTGCATTTTTTTTATTTTTATGTCTTGTTCAATAGTGCATTTTGTCTGACAAAAAAAAAAATAATTTTCTACTTAAAAATTTATTTTTATAAAAATAGAAATTCAATTGCTTTGAAGAAAACTTAAATTCTGTCGATGAATTTAATTGAAACAAATTAAAATATTGCAAAGAATTAAATTCAAATTTTTAAAAATAATTAAATTGATTCGAAGAATATTAGAAAATCTTTTGAAAATAATCAAATTCTTTAGAGGAATTTCAAAATAAACTAAAATTAATTGAATTCTTGTAAAGAAATCTATCAAAATTTTTTTTGAATAATTGACTTTTTTCAAGGAATTTTATTAATAAAATTTCGCAAAAATTCAATTATTAAAAATTTTTTTTAATTTTTAAAAATAATTGAATTTTTTCGAAGAATTTTACAACAATTTTTGAAAATAATTCAATTCCTCCGAAGATATTTATTATAGTTATCAAAATAATTGAATTCTTGACAAGAATTTAATTATTTATGAAGATAATTGAATTATTTCGAGAAATTTTATTAAAATTCACTTGAAAATAATTGAATTTCTGTGAAGCAATTTATTATCTTTTTAAAAAATAAAAAACATAAATTTTGAAAAATATAAATTTTTTCGAGGAATTTAATTAAAATTTTATTGAAAATAATTGAATTTTTCTAAAGAAAAAAATTTTTTTTTTTGTGAAAATTGGATTAAACAGAATTGAATACTTTCAAGGAATTTTATTGAAATTTTTCCAAAGTAATTGAATTTTCTCGAAGAATTTTACAACAATTTATTTATGATGATTAATTGATTAATTTTAATTGAAAATAATTGAATTTTTCTAAAGAATTTTGTGAAAATTTTTGAAAATAATTTAAATCTTTCAAAGAATTTTATTAAAATTTTTGCAAATAATTCAATTTGTTTCGAAGAAAATTAAAATTCTTTCGAGGAGTTTTGTTAAAATTCTATTGGAAATAATTGAATTCTCATATTAAATTGTATCAAAATTAAAATTGTTTTGAAAAGAATCAAATCTTTGCATTGAATTATATTATTTATGAAAATAATTGAATTCTTTGCGAACGATTTTACTATTTATAAAAATAATTGAAATGTTTCGAAGAATTTATTAAAATTTTAAGAAATAATTAAATTGTTATGAAGAATTCTGTAGAAATATTTAAAAATAATGAGATTTTTTCGAGAAATTTAATTAAAGTTGTTTCGAAAATAATTGAATTTCTTGAAAGAATTTTATTAAAATTAAATATGTATTCAAAATAATTGAATTCATCACAAGAATTTTATTATTTTTTTGAAAATAATTGAATTCTTTCAATTTTTTTTTGACGAATATATTTAAAAATTGCATTGAAAGTAATTTAATGTTTATATATATAGAATTTTTAAAAAAAATTTTTTAGAATAATTCAATTATGTTTAGAGAATTTTTAATTCTTGTTGAAATTGAATTTTATGGAAATTTTCGAAAATAATTATATTCTTTCGTGAAATTTTATTTAAATTGGATTAAAAATAATTTAACTTCTGCAAAGAATTTTACTATTTATAAAAATGATTGAATTTTTTCAAAGAATTTATTAACATTTTAGAAAAAAAAAATTGAATTTTTTCGAAATGTGTTAAAAAGTTTTTTAAAAATTGAATTATTTACTTATAAAGAATTTTTTATTGAAATTTTAAAACTAATAAAATATTTGCGAAAAATTTTATTAAAATTCTTTTAAGTAATGAATTTTATTAAAATTTTAGGAATTTGGAATTTAAATTATAATTTGTTAATTCAATAATTACAGACTTGTTCTGGAAAGCGCCGGAGCTGCTAAGGAATCTTAATGCTCCGATCAGAGGAACCCAAGAAGGGGACATATACTCGTTTGCGATTATTCTTTATGAAATGATCGGTAGAAAAGGACCGTACGGTGGTGTAAATTTAGAGCCCAAAGGTAAGTGAAATTAAGTGAAACTTTTTTCTCCCAGAAAAACATTATTTTAAGCTCAACTTCGATCATTTTTTTTTTCATCAAATAAATTAAAAATGCTCCATCTTTTCATTATTCTTGAAAATAATTAATTTCCAAAAGTTTTTTGAAACTAATTTTACTAATGATTCAACTACTTTACCATTTACTACTAAAATAAATAAATAAATGATGAAATAAATAAATAAATGATTTATTAAAATTGATTGTAAAAATTATTTTCCTTTTCAAATATTTTATTATATATTAATTTTTTAACTGTATAATTTTATTATATTATTTATTAGAAACATAGAAATTATAAAATTTAAACTAATTTCTTTTTAAGAAATCATTGATCGAGTGAAAAGGTTTCCGGACGATGGCGAACCACCATTTAGACCTAATGTTGACATTCTCTCGGAATCGGAGGCAGATTGCGCTGAATATATTGTTAGTACAATAACCGATTGTTGGACCGAATGTCCTGAGCTTCGACCTGACTTTAAAATAATTCGCACCAGACTGAAGAAAATGAAAGCCGGAAGACATCGCAATATTATGGATCAAATGATGGATATGATGGAAAAATATGCCAACAATCTCGAGGATCTAGTCAGTGAGCGAACGCGCCTTCTCTTCGAGGAAAAACAAAAAACGGAGGATCTCCTTCACCGAATGTTACCTGAGTATGCTTTTCATTTTTTTTTTCTATCTTCAATAAATTAAGTAAATTTTCAAAAAATAGCTTATCGTTAATTTTATTTTCTATTACAGACCAGTTGCTAATTGTCTAACAAATGGAATTGGAGTTGAGCCAGAGGCTTTCGATTTGGTTACAATATATTTCAGTGACATCGTTGGTTTTACATCGATGTCAGCCGAAAGTACACCCTTTCAGGTGGTTAATTTTCTCAACGATTTATATACGTTGTTTGATCGCATCATCAAAGGATATGACGTTTACAAAGTCGAAACAATCGGCGACGCCTACATGGTGGTAATTATCAGTCACTTTAGTTTTACCTTCATTTCTTTATTACTTTTTAATTATCTTCATTTTTAATTTTGAAATAATTTCCGATTCAAAATTCGTAAAAATTCAATTCTTAACTAACTTACTAATTAATTATAATTCTTTTATTATTATTTTCAAATAATTTAATAAAATTCATCGCAGGAATTCAATTATTTTCAATACAATTTAAATGAAATTCATCGAAGAAAGAATTTCATTATTTCTAAATTTTTTTTGTAAAATTCGTCGAAAGAATTCAAATAACTACCAAATTTTTTATACAATTCTTAATGATAATTCAATTATTTTAAACATAATTTCAACTAAAATTCCTCGAAACAATTTGAATTTCCTTCGAAACAAATAAATTATTTTCAAAAAATTTCTATAAAATTCTTGTCAAAAATTCAATTATTTTCATAAATAATAAAATTCGCTGAAACAATTCAATTTTAATTTTCTTCGAAATAATTGAATTATTTCCAAAAATTTAAATAAAATTCTTTCAAAGATTTAAATTATTTTTAAAATTTTCACAATTATTTTCAATTAAAATTAATTAATTAATCATCATTAAGAAATTAATTTTTGTCAAGAATTCAATTATTTTGGTAAATATAAAAAAAAATCTTTGGAGAAATTCAATTTTATTCAAAATAATTTTGATAGATTTCTATAGAAGACTGCAATTAATTTCAGTTTATTTTTAATTAAATTTCTTGAAAGAATTTAGTTTTATTATTTTCTAAAGTTTTTTATGAAAATCTTTGAAATAATTTAATTATTCCTCAAAAATTCGAATTCAATTCTTGATTAAAATTTTAGAAAATAAATGAATTGCATTAAAGAATTTATTTAAAATTTTTGAAAGTAATGGAAATTTTTAAATAATTTTTGTTGTAAATTTTGAAAATAATTGAAGTCTATGAAAAAATTTCTTTAAATTTCTATTTTTAATAATTAATAATATATATAAATAATATTAATAATAATTAATAATAAAATTCTATGCAAAATTTTAACTAATTTCATAAATAATAAAATTCTTAGGAGAAATTAAATTATTTCCACTAAAATCACAATAAATTTTCTTGATAATTTTCAATTATTTTTAAGAATTTTAAGTAAATTCTTGTCAAGAATTCAATTATTTTCATAAAAAATGAAAATCTTTGGAGTAAATTCAATTATTTTCTAAAATTTTCATAAAATTCTTTTAAAAAATTCAATTATTTTGAAAAATAATTAAAATTCTTTGGGGAAATTAAATTATTTTCACTAAAAATTTCAATAAATTTTCTTGATAAATTTCAATTATTTTAAAAAATTTTAATTAAATTCTTGTCAAGAATTCAATTATTTTCATAAAAAATTAAAATCTTCTGAGTAATTCAATTATTTTCCAAAATTTTCATTAAATTATTTTGAAAAATTCAATTATTTCGAAAAATAATTAAAATCTTCGGAGTAATTCAATTATTTTCAAAAATTGTTGTAAAATTCTTTGTAGAAATTCAATTATTTTGAAAAATAACGATTAAATTCTTTATGAGAATTGAAATATTTTCACTAATATTTAAATTAATTTCATTGAAAAATTCAATTATTTTCCATAATTTTAATTAAATTCTTAGCAAAAATTCAATTATTTTCATAATTTCTAAAATATTTCGCAGAAATTTATTTATTTCAATGAATTTTAATCAAATTCTTACCGCAAGGTTTCAATTAATTGTATATAATTAATAACATTTCTTAAAAGAATTCCATTATTTAAAAAAAAATTGTAATAAAATTTCTTGAAAGAATTGAGAAATTAAGAAAAAATGTTAATTATAACATTCAATTTTTTTTTGCAAAATTCTGTTAAAACTCTTCATAAGAATTTAAATATTTTTAATTTTTCGTAAGAAATTGAATGCTTTTGGAAATTTTGATAAATTTCTTTATAAGAATTCAATTATTTTAAACTGAAAATTATAAAAGAAACAATTCAAAACAATTAAATTAATTTGGTTTAATTAATTTGTGTGGTATTTTTTAATCTTCAAAGGATGAAATTAAAATTTCATTAATTTGAAGAATCAAAAACAGTTAGGAAGAAAAATTATTAAAGAACTTTGGAAACAAAGAAGCAGACAAAAATTAACTACAAACTGCGAACAGATTATTAATTATTATTAATTAATATAGAAGAAAATAGATTATAAATTTAAAAAAAATATTGCATCATTAAATTTTTCTTTCTTTTCCTTTTCTAAAATATTGTGTTTCTCGAATATGTATATACATATATAATAAATAATTCTATGTAAATTATAGTAGCTTTGAAATAATTTTTCTCAGGTTTCTGGTTTGCCGATAAAAAATGGAAACAGGCACGCTGGAGAGATAGCCTCAATGTCTTTGGAGTTATTGAATGTGGTTAAGCATCACACTATAATTCATCGTCCTCAAGATACATTAAAACTTAGAATTGGAATTCATACCGGTATTGATTTCGTCTTTTTTATTTTTTAGTTTCCTCTTTTTCTACTCTTTCAACTAAATTAATTGGAAAATTTCCACTAACTCTTCCACTACATAATTATTTCTATTTTATTTACATTTTTTATTTACTTTTTCATTTTATTTACATTTTTATTTTTTTTACTTTTTGATTTCGTTTACTTTTTTATTTTCTTTACTTTTTGATTTCGTTTACTTTTTTATTTTCTTTACTTTTTGATTTCGTTTACTTTTTTATTTTATTTATTTTTTTATTTCGTTTACTTTTCTATTTTATTTACTTTTTTATTTCGTTTACTTTTTTATTTTATTTCCTTTTTTTATTTAAAATTGTATTTGTAATTTATGAATTTTATATTAGTTTTCGATTGTCCTTTTTTCGTTGTTTTTAAATATAGTTTTAATTTTTTTTTATTACATATTTTATTTTTCGTAACAATTAATTTTGTTTTGGCTTTTTTTAATATTCTATCCGATTTGTTTTTATTGAATTATTTTTTATTTTAGGACCGGTAGTCGCCGGTGTTGTGGGATTAACAATGCCGAGGTATTGTCTGTTTGGCGATACTGTTAACACTGCCTCAAGAATGGAATCAAATGGAGAACCTCTGAGAATTCACATAAGTGCCCAATGCAAAGAGGCGCTCGACATTGTCGGCGGTTACACCATCGAGGAACGTGGTTTAGTCAAAATGAAAGGAAAGGGAGAAGTTAAGACTTACTGGCTCACTGGGGCCACCGAAAAAGCAATTCAAAAACGAGAGGTGAATATTCCATTTTTAAAATTAATATTTACATTTTTAAGTATTTAAAAATAAATTTTTAAAAAATTCTTGGCAAAAATTCGATTATTTTCATAAATAATAAAATTCGTTGAAAGAATTCAATTATTTTCAAAAGTATTAATAGAATTTATTATCTGAATTCAATTATTTTCAATACCTACAATTTTCACCAAACTTCTCGAAAGAATTTTAATTTTCTTCGAAATAATTTAATTATTTACAAAAATTTTCATAAATTTCTTTAGAAAAATTCAATTATTTCCATAAATAATAAAATTCTTGTCAAGAATTCAATTATTTTCGTAAATAATTAAAATCTTCGGAGTAATTCAATTATTTTCGAAAATTGTTGTAAAATTCTTCGTAGAAATTCAATTAATTTGAAACATTTCGATTAAATTCTTTATGATAATTAAAATATTTTTTCAATAATATTTATACTTTATTTCATTGAAGAATTCAATTCTTTTACATTATTTTAATCCAATTCTTAGCAAAATTTCAATTATTTTTATAATTTAAAACATTTTTCTCAGTAATTTAATTATTTTAAAGAATTTTTCATATAATTCTTCGCAGAAAGTATAAAAAATTGTAAAAAAATATTTCTGAGGATTGAAATATTTTCAGGATTAATAAAATTCTTCGCAGGAATTTAATTATTTTAAAGAATTTCAAAAAACATTCGAAAGAATTTTAATTCAATCGAAAGAATTCAATTAATTTTAAAAATTCATTTAATTTAATTATTTTTAAAAAATTTGGTACAATTCATAAGAAGAATTTAATTCGTTTCAATACAATTTTAATTCTTTATAGGAAAAATATTTAATTAAACATTTTTAAAAAATTTCATTCTTTTTCAAAATAATACAATTTTTGACAAGAATTCAATTATTGTGGTAAATAAAAAAAATCTTGGGAGGAATTCAATTATTTTCAAAAATTGTTGTAAAATGTTTCGTAAGGAATTCAATTATTTTGAAAAATATCGATTAAATTCTTTATGAGAATTGAAATATTTCCAATAATATTTCAACTAATTTCATTGAAAAATTCAATTATTTTCCATTATTTTAATTAAATTCTTAGCAAAATTTCAATTCTTTTCATAAGTTACAAAATTTTTCTCATAAATTTAATTATTTTAAAGAATTTTAATAAAATTTTTCGCAAATATTTTATAAGTTTTAAAATTTCAATAAAAAATTCTTTATAAAAGTAAATAATTCAATTTTTAAAAAAAATTTTAACACAATTTTTTTCACATTTCAAAAAAATTCGATTATTTTCTAAAATTTTAATAAATCCTTTGAAAAAATTCAATTATTTTCAAAAAATAATAAAATTCTTGTGATGAATTCAATTATTTTGAATATATACTTAATTTTAATAAAATTCTTTCAGGAAATTCAATTATTTTCAAAATAACTTTAATTGAATTTTTTGAAAAAATTTTATTATTTTCAAATATTTCTATAAAATTCTTCATAACAATTTAATTATTTCTTAAAATTTTAAATACATTCTTCGAAATATTTTCATTATTTTTATAAATAGTAAAATTCTACGCAAAGAATTCAATTATTTTCATAAATAATATAATTCATCGCAGGAATTCAATTATTTTCAAATATTAACATAAAATTAATTTATTTTCCAAAATTTTAATAAATTCTTCGGAACAATTCAATTATTTCTATAAATAATAAAATTCTTTGAAGGAATTCTCTTATTATCAATTTTTTTTTTTGTAAAATTCTTTTCAACATTTCAATGATTTTCAATAGATTAATTTTAAAATTGAAAATATTTGAAAAGAAAAATTATAAAAAAAAAGTTTAGAAACAAAACAGCAAACAAGAATTAACTTGAAACTGCGAAAAGATTACCGGAACATGTAGTTTATTATTATTAATAATTATTTTTATTAATTATAATTATTGATTTTGAATTAAAAGAAAGAAAGGAATTGAAATAAAAATATTGTTTTTTTTCAGGTTGATTTTGGCGATTTACCGCCACTATTCTGTCGTCCAAGACGAAGTCCAAAATTAAATCCCGACTCAAGACAAGCGTCATTGCTCGGAGGATTGGGTGCCGGAAGTAGAAGACAATCGAGTGTCCCAAGGCCAACGCCCGACGACACAACGTCCCAATGCGGTGGTTCAAGTCCCCTGCCACGTCATCTTCTCGTTCGAAAACTCGATCGTTCGCCTCTCTTTATAACTGAGAATTCCTCCTCAAAAACAACCCTCGACAATGTCACAATTCGCGAGGAGGCCGAAAATCGTGCAGCGAACATAAAACTTGCCCTCGACGATCTCTTTCTAAATAATACATCGACACGTTTAAATGTGAGAAATAAAAATCCCCGCGTCCTCTCGACAATCGCCTCATCATCATCAACAAACGATTATCCAACTTTTGTACGTGAATCAAGATCACTCGATCCATTTCCAATACAAATTGATTACAATAAACGGCAAACGGAAGAAAATAAGGGCAAAGAAACAGAAAAAGAAGCAGAAGCAGAAGAAGAAGAAGAAGAGGAGAAAAATTTTAATGAAAAAGAAGAGGAAGAAGTAGATGAAAAAAATTCACTATCGCCACAACAATTCGATTGGCGTGAAACAACAAAAAAGAGTTTTCGATCAATGGAAAATTGTGACAAGTGCATTAGAACAAATTCAAAGACAAACATAACGGACATAGTGTTAAATAATAATTATCCAAATGGCAATGTGATAACAACAACAGCAAACGAAGCCGAAATTCCATTATTAAACAATGATAATAATGATAATGATGAAAATAATGGTGTGCAAATAAAACGTTGGCGATCATTGGATCAAGTTGTATCGACGCCAAGCGCCGGCGACAATGTGCCCGATAAAAAATCATCAGCGAGAAATTCAATAAAAAGCTGGTTAGTCAATTTGTTTAATGGCAATGGTTTACGTAACAGTGATGTTTCACTTCGTCGTGGCGTTATCGCCGGTTATGATATTCAAACCGAAAGAGAGAGTATCGTTTAACCATTTTTATTTTCTCTCTCAGAAAAAATCAGAATCGCGACAAAAAAAGATTTTTCACTATAATCAATTTACAAGGAAAAAAAATATTTTTTTACACAAACAAGCAAAAAGCCTCTGATCGCGATCTCTGATTTGTTAATTTTTCGTTTTCCAAGAACACGAATCGTTCAGTTCAACATTTGCCATTCTTTTTTTTATAAGCGTGCAATTTTTTTTTTATTTTTTTTTTTTGTATATGAAAGTTACCGACAGTGTATAAAAAAAGATTTATATTTTATGAATTTACGAGCATCTTTTTGTTTTTGAGAGCTAGAGACATTTTTACACAAGGTCCGACTGTCGCGATATTTTTTTTTCATTTTTTTTTTTACTGGCGTGCGACTTTTTTTTTGTCTGTTTTTTTCTTTATTATAAATATCTATTTTTTTTACATATTAGAAAGAAGAAAAAAAAAACGAGAGAAATATTTCTAACCAAAGTTTGACGAAAGCGAAAAGAGAATCGGAGGATTTCTTTGGAACTCGTTGGAATATTAGAAATTTTGTTGGTCGTGTGAAATTGAGAGAAAGAATGAGATAGAGAGAAAAAGTGTGAAAGAGAGAAAAAGAGAGAGAGAGCTCGACTCAATTGTATAGTTTTTACCGTATGTACATAAAAAAAATAGTGCGCATGAAAAATATATTCATTAATGTCGCGTAACGCTTTTTTTTTTTTTTTTTTTTGAAAATAATAAGCGGAATAAGCGCGAAATTTATACATCAATATATATTGTATTTATATTTGTTCACTGAAGGAAAGCAAAATATCTGTATGGCTGTGAAAAGTGAACTAGATGGTACCTAAGGTGCTTAGTAATATATCACGTTGTCAAATGTATATAACTGAATAATAATATATCGATGTAAAAACAAAACAAAAATACTATGTAAATTAAAAAAAAATGATTACCTTCTATAAAAATGGTTAATTAAAAATGTACCTTTTCAAATAAAACAAATTTTGTGTAGCGTTGCTTTATCTCCCTTTTATGGTATTTTTCGTATTTTTGGAAGAAAACTAAATTTAATTAATTTATAAATAAAATTTAATTTATAAAAATAATTCTTTTTTTAAATCAATATTTTTAAGAATAATTACATCTTTCGAGAAATTCGATAAAATTTTATTTAAAAAATCGAAATTCTGCAAAAAAATTTTATTATTTATGAATAATAATTTACTTAATTCGGAAAAATTTATTAAATATTCTATAATGAAAGCAATTGAATTTCAGCAAAAAATTTTATTAAAACTCTTTAAAATAATTCAATTACTGAGAAAAATTTTGTAAATTTATGAAAATAAATAATAAGTTATAAAAATATTTGAAATTTTGCAAAAGAATTTTATTGAAATAATGGAAAATAATTGAATTTTTCAATGAAATTATTTCAAATAATATTGAAAATATTTTAATTCTAATAAAGAATTTAATTGAAATTTTTCAAAATAATTGAATTACTACGAAGAATTTTACAACAATTTTGGAGAATAATTGAATTACTTCAAAGTTTTTAATTATTTTTCAAAATAATTGAATTTTTCAAAATAATTTAATGAAAATTTTGGAAAATAATTGAATATACTCCGAAGATTTTTATTTTTTATGAAAATAATTGAATTCTTGACAAGAATTGTGAAAAAAGTGAAAATAAATTAATTTTTCTGAAGAATTTTAATTATTTTTCAAAATAATTGAATTTTTCTAAAGAATTTTATGAAAATTTTGAAAATTAATTGAATTTACTCCGAAGATTTTTATTTTTTATGAAAATTTTGAAAATTAATTGAATTTACTCTAAAGATTTTTATTTTTTATGAAAATAATTGAATTCTTGATAAGAATATAATTAAAATTTTTGATAATATAATTGTAAATGATTGCAAGGAATTCAATTAAAATTGTTTTGAAAATATTTCAATTCTCATAAAGAATTTAATTTAATTTATCAAAAGAATCGAATTGTTAGAAAGAATTTAATCAAAATTGTAAAAAATAATTTTATTTTATTGACGTTTTGAGAAATTTTATTAAAAATAATTAAATTCCTGCGAAGTATTTGATTAATTATGAAAATAATTTAATTCTCTCAAATAATTTTATTACAATTTTTCAAAGAAATTGAAATTCCTGCGAAGAATTTTCTTTAAAATAATTCAATTCCAGAGAAAAATGTTATAAATTATGAAAATATTTGAAATTTTGCAAAAGAATTTAATTAAAATAATGGAAAATAATTGAATTTTTCAATGAAATTAATTCAAATATTATTGAAAATATTTCAATTCTCATAAAGAATTTAATCGTTATTTTTTAAAATAATTGAATTTTTACAAAGAATTTTACAACAATTTTTGAAAATAATTGAATTATTCCGAAGATTTTAATTTTTTAGGAAAACAATTTTTTCATAGACTTTAATTATTTTCAAAATTTACAATAAAAATTATTTCAAAATTTTCAAATAGATTCTTTAATGCAATTCATTTATTTTCTAAAATTTTAATAAAATCCTTGCCAAGAATGAAGTTATTTTCCATAGTTTTAATCAAATTCTTTCGAAGAATTTGATTATTTTCATAAATAATAAAATTCCTTTCGAAAAATTTTGTCTTAAGATTTTTGAACTTCTGAGAATTCAATTATTTTCAAAAATTGTAATTCAATTGAATTCTAAATGCAAATTTAGATTTTCAAATATTTTGATAAAATATTTCAAAAATCAATTGTTTTCAATAAAATTTTTTCATAATTTTAATTATTTAAAAACTTTTTAATCAAAAAAAAAATTTTTAATTCAAAAATTTAATTATCCTAAAAAAATTATTCAAAATTATATTTGAAAGATTTAATTGATTATTATTATGTTATTATTATCATTTTATTTAATGAATGAAATTAAATATTCAAAAAATTGGTATTCATTTTTCTTTAATAACTTAATTTTCAATTAAAGATTTTATTTCTTTTCTTCCTATTAGAATAAATTCAAATAAAATAATAACATTTGATAACACACGATTTTTAGAGATATAATTTACATCTTAATTCCTAAGCATTCATAAACTGTACAGTTGTTGGCTGAATGTTGACTAAATTTATTAACAAAATACATTAATCGTGGCCTGTTAGGAATTTCGATAGAAAATCTGTTGGTTTTGGCTCCACAGTGTCTTTAAAGAGATACATTAATGCACCTTCATTTTTCCATTTATTAACTGTTTCCTTTAATTCCATTTGCCCCTGGATAAATATAGTTTTTAATTTCATTTTCATAAATTTAGATAAAATACTATAAAAATAGATTTTAATTTATTTTTAAATTCCTATATAGACTTATTTTTACTATTGCTTTATATTTAATTATAATTATTTATTTCAGCAAATATTCGAATAGAAATGAGAAAAAATAAATTTAATTACCTTAATTGTCAACATATCAATAATTCTAATATCCTTAATATTCTCATGCTTCACAAACTCTTCTCGAAGTTTTTGTCTACAATCCTTAACACTTTTGGGAATATCAAATTCCCTAACTGAAAAAGAATTCGACTTATTAATTAAATTAAAATTTACACATTATAATTATAAATATTAAATTATCTAAATTAAAAAAAAACAAAATTTTGTTTTGGCAACAAAAAAAAATAGATGCTTCAAAACATAGAAACTTTAGAACAAAACTAAATGTCGAAATAAATTTAAAAATAATAACTACGCTTAATTAAATTTACGAAATATAAAGATTATAAATATACAAAAATGTAAAATAATAGTGACATTAGTTTACATAACGAATCAAAAGGAAAGCAAATTGTACTGTAAATATAAATAAACAAATAAATAAATAAAAAAAGATATCGTGTAGAAAAAAAAGAAATGATTTATTAATTGAAATCCTTTATTTTTTAAATTAAAAACGTCGAAATTACAATTACAATAACAAAGTAAAATACCTTTTTTTGAGGTTAGAAATTTTGTGATGACTTATTTTTACGAACGATTAAAAATAAGGTGAAGAAATTATTACTCACCAATAAAGGGTATTTGACGATACCATGTTTTATATAATTGAATAACTCTTCTTCGAGCTTGCTCATCATTTATTGATAAAATTGGTTTTACTTGACGAGCAACAGTCTGCACTGAGGAAGCCATTTTGAAAACTAGAATTCAATAGTTACACCTCTTACCTCTGTTGATAAAGTGGATATAAAGTGAAAAATAACTAACCCTTGTTTTATAAATTAATTTAAAACTGTCGATTGGATAAACTCGAATCTATAATTAATAATTTATGTATTCATTCGAGAAATCAAAAGAAAAAAAATTATAAAAGTAATTTTAATAACGGCGATATTCAAATTTACGCGGGGATGAAGTTGATAATTCCCGCGCAAATTTAAATCTATGGCGAAAGAGAAATAATTTTTTTTTTAAATAATTTTCAATATAAACATTTAATTATTGAATTTTATTAAAATTTTAGAAAATAATTGAATTCTTTTGAAAAATTTTATAAGGAATTATGAAAAAAAATTGAATTCTTTCGTAAAATTTTTTTTTGAAAATAATTAAATTTTTACAAAGAATTTTATAACAAATTAAAAGAAAATTGAATTGTTTCGTAAACTTATTTTTTATAAATGAATTATTTATGAAAATAATTGAATTCTTGTGAAGAATTTTATTAAAACTTTTGAAATTAATAAACAAGAATAATAAATTAATTAGTAAATTAGTTAATAAAGGAATTTTTTTTTAAAGTTTGAATCTAAAAGTATTCAAAAATTCATATTTGAAAATAAAAATTTTCTAATTTGCATAATAAATAAATAAATAAATAAATAAATAAATAAATAAATAAATAAATAAATAAATAAATAAATAAATAAATAAATAAATAAATAAATAAATAAATAAATAAATAAATAAATAAATAAATAAATAAATAAATAAATAAATAAATAAATAAATAAATAAATAAATAAATAAATAAATAAATAAATAAATAAATAAATAAATAAATAAATATAATAATAATAATAATAATAATAATAATAAATTTGCTAGTTATTATTAAAAAAATTTTTTTAAACAATTTCACAGCGTAAAAATCCATTTCTAGTAATATAAAACTTCTTTTTATTTTTTTAAATTTAGTGTGTACAGTTTTTTTTTACAAAAGAAACAGAAAATACATTTAATAAATCTAAACAGATCGGGACACTAGGTCCATTTTTATAGACTTTAATTATACATATTATTATTTAATAATAATAATAATACAGTAAAATATATCGTAAATATAGAATAATTATAATAATTATCATGAATCGCAATAATAATTATTTACCGTGTGTCAAATATATACATTTTTAGGTCAGGTATCAGTCTCTGTATAAAAGTGTAAGTTTTGTGTGTTATTTTTGTATTACGTGTATATTTATTATTGTGTATTTTGGTTTTATTATAATGTATGTATTATATTATATGTATTTGTTTATGTATTATTTTTGTGTGTATTTACTTGTATTTATACTTGTATTTATATTTGTATTCACGTGTATTTGTCTATGTGTATTTATTTATGTGCATTTTTTTAATTATCTTTTTACGGACCTTCTCTTACAGACTCTTTCATTGAAAATTAAAAAAAAAAAAATCACACTCTTTACATCACCATCGATCAAAGCATCGTTTCAAACTTCATTCTTTACCTTTTTTTTCTTCTCTGAATATTTTAATATACTTTATAGCGAAAAAAAATTCCCTTCTTTTTTCACACTCATTACAATTTCTTTGATTTCATTCAAAGAAATTTTTCTCTCGCAAATAAATAGTAAAATTATATTTTTGATTTTTTATAAAAGAAAAAAGGAATTTTTCGTATTTTCTTTCTAGATCGCAAATTTTTTACATTTCAATTGGAAAAATCAATGTTTTTTTAGAAAATTTATATTTTAAAATTACAAATTTAAAAGAAACATTGATTTTTTTACAAAATATTTACTCGATCGGTTTTTTTTTTATTACTTATAAAATATATTTTGACGAGGAAATTTGAAATCGAACGCTGACAATAGTATTTGCTTTTTCTTTTGTACACACAACGACTTAACACAAAAAAAAATACAACAATGACAAAAAAAAAAATTCTTTCAATAAATACATCATTGCATTGCATGCAAACGAAAATTATTTTTATGAGTAAAACTCCGAAATCTTAAATAATTATCGACTTAGAGTATTTTTTAAACGATTTAAACGAAATTCGAGACATTCTCGAGTTAAAAAAAAACAAATCTATAATATAGGTAACACTTTTTTTTTACAACAAAAGACAGAATTTTAATTAAAGAACACAATTCATTTGAACAGTAAAATAAAATTTTTGATATTATCGATAATTTTGAGAAAACGAAATTTTTTCTTCTCTTTAACAAGTCTTGGAAGGATGAAAAAAAAATGATAATACTTTTTGAAAATTTGTTTCCAATTTTTTTTTTCTATTTTTAATTTTTCCATCTCTCGTTCCTCGGTACCTTTTCTTTTTAGTTTTTCTTTAAATTTTTTTTTTATTTCTTTGCACACCAGGAGCAAAAAAAATGTCGACGGATTCTTGCCAGCCAATGAGCGACTAGCTTTATATATAATATATATATATATATATATTTTTTTCAAGCGAGCAAGGCACAGGATCTCTAAGGACTCAAGGTGCAATGCTAGAAGGAACTACTCAATTTTGTTCCATGCTCTAAACGTCTCGTCAGCAGCAGCACCAAAATGTTATCACTGGAAACGAAAACGTCTAAATGTGCGACATTGATCGAGAGAGATAAAATACAGGATTCGAAAGTAAATAAAAAGAAAATTAAATTTTTTATTGAATTAAATTCATTAAATAAATTAAATTCATTAAATTAATTAAATTAATTACTTAAAGAATTAAATTTAGTAATTAGATTTAATTAATTAAATCTAAAATAAAAAGAAATATAATGCCTTGAAATTCCTACAAATTATTTAGGCCATTTTTTTAATTATAAAATAGAAAAAAAAAATTTTTTTTCTCAATTGGAATCTTTTTTTGGAATTATTTATTTCTAAAAAACAGATCTATTGAAATTCTGAGAATTGAATTCTTTCGATAGTTTTTATAACACAATTAAGAAAAAATTGAATTCTTTCATGAAATGTTATTAAAATTGTATTAAAAATAATTGAATTATTTGGTATTTTTTATAACGAATTAAGAAAAAAATTGAATTCTTTCGTGAATTTTTTTCTTTTGAAAATAATTGAATTCTTTTAAAAAATTTTTATAACGAATTAAGAAAAAAATTTAATTCTTTCGTGAATTTTTTTTTTTATAATAATTGAATTCTTTTGAATGTAATTTAATTTTTGCAAAGAATTTTATTATTTATAAATAGAATTGAATTGTTTCCAAGAATTTATTAAAAATTTTAGAAAATAATTGAATTTTCTTTTCTGAAAATAATTGAATTTATGCAAAGATTTTATAACAAATTAAAAAAAAATTGAATTCTTTCGAAAAATTTATTTTGAAAATAATTGAATTCTTATGAAGAATTTTATTAAAAATTTCTGAAATTAACAACCATGAAAAATTAATAAGTAAATTAGTTAACAATTGAATTTTTTTAAAGTTTGAATCCAAAATTATTCAAAAATTCATATTTGAAAATAATTGTTTCAAAGGATTTATTAAAAGTGTTAGAAAATTGAATTTTTTTCGAAAATTATTATTAAAAAATCTTTTTGAAAATAATTCAATTCTTTTGAAATTCTGAATAATTACCAGAGAGATAAAAATATTTTTCGAAAAATCAATTAAAAAATCTCAATTTCCACAGAAAAAAATAATTTCTTAAGTCGAAAATACAAAGCATTAATTTTTTTTTCCACTAAAAAAAGATTTCACCTTTTTTTTTACTTCTGAATCCTGATATAATGTCGAAATGATTTTTGTTGTTTGTGGAACAAACGGTAATAATAAAACTCTATATTTTTACGTACGCATGCGAAGATGTGCTCCAAAAAAATATTTTTCTTTCATGAAAAAATTAAAATTTTAGAAATATTTAATAATAATGATAATAATAATAATAATGATTGAAAATTGATATATTAAATAAGCACACATGCGAATACGTACGATTCTTAAATTATAAATAACAATGTATCGAGTTAATTAGCACAAATTATTCACACAAAAAAAATCGAATTTCATTTAAATTTAAAATTTTCGATTTTTACAATATTTATTGGGAAAGTGTTGATAGCAAATGTAAAATTTAAATAATTGAAGTTGTTAATTAATTTAAGTTTGAATTAATTAAAGTTACCAATTAATTTATTTGTTCAGTTAATTAATATTTCATTCGTAAAGAAAACTGTTAATTTTTTTTAATAAAATATATTCTTAGGACGGAAATCACTTCTAATAAAATCTTTCTAATTATTCACTCACAGTACATCTAAATTTAATTTTTATTTTCAAAATAATCTCTATTTTTATTCTAATTATTATTAACCGTGAAGTTTCTTTCTTCTGAATTTAACCCTTGAAAATTAATTCTTCTACTTTGAATTATTTTTATTTTGTTATTTTCCTTTTACATTTTTTTTTCTATAAATTATCTTCTTAAATCTTTCGAATTTTTTTTTTTAAACTTTTTCCATAATTTTCTAATGTATTTAGAAAAATTCTCACTTCTTTTATCTATAATTATTAGAATTAATTATTTTTTACCCATTTGAAAAATTGCTTTCTCGAAATAATAAAGTTGAAAAATAATTTTATAACAACTTTTTTGAATTAATTTTTTTTTTTTTAATAATTATTACTTAAAAATAATAATTAATATTTTCTTTTTAAAAAAGGTTTTTTACATTCAGAAGTTATTTTTCACTATTATCAAGCAAGATAATATTTGATAAGTTGATAAGATTTGAAAATCTTTCAACTAAAAAAATATTACACTAGTGAAAGACTTTCAAATTCTCGATTTTTTTTCGATTATTTTTCCCGTTTTTTTTTTTTTATTATGTGAAAATTTGTGCTAACTTGATGACTCGTGTGAGAAATAAAATTGTTACTTGAAAATAATAACATTGAGGAAGCTTTAGAAAAAAAATTATTACCCAAACAATATGTCTTCTAATTAAAGAAAATAACACTTGTTCTTTTACCATTTGAGGGGTAAAAAAATAAATTTTCTCTTTGGTATTTTCCATATTGTTTGGGTTTTTTTTTTATAAATAATTAGTTGGCAATGACATGCAGAGAAAGAGAAAGAGAGAGAGAAAGAGAAAGAGAAGAGAGCGCGAGAAAAGATTTTCATGCCTGTTTTTTTTTTTTAGTTAAGGCTTCTACAGCTAGATATTAAAACAGAAAAGTTTCTTTGCTTGTTCACTTTTTTTTGTTCTTTTTTTTGTTTCTGTAAGGACAGTATACAAGTTTTGTTATTTATCTAATGAGACAAAAAAATACTGTTAAATTTGACAAAAAAATGAAAAAAAAATTTGCAATCTTACTTTTTGAGACGCAAAATAACTCGCTTCGTCTTCACCAGGCATGTCTTGACGATACATCTACACAAGCTAAAAACAACGATCTTTTTATCAATGGCTTCAACCTTTCCTTGTGTCAGAGTTTTTTTTTTATTATTAAATTTCTGTTTTGTTTAAATGTATTTTTTTTCGATTACTAATTAATCGTTTGTCTTCATTAGTCTGGGGGGCAGGATGGCTTTTGACTTGAGTTTTTCACTCGAATCAGGAAAAATCAGACAATTTTGCGAGCGCCTGTAAATTAATCTCAAAAAAAAAAATTCTAATCGTGATTCCAATCAGAGCAATTGAAATTTTGAAATTAGAATTGCAATTATTGAAATTATTAATAAATAATAATAATAATAATAATAATAATAATAAATAATAATAATAATTATTAAATTATTAATTGAAATTACGAAATTAAAATAGAAATATTATTGAATAGAAATTCAAATTTCTATTCAATAATTCTATTTCTATTTTTAATACTATTCGTATTTTTAATTTAAAAATACAAACAGAATTTGTCAAATTGAAATAATAAATAATTTGCAGGCGCTACAAAAAATTGTTCGCAGAGCTAAACATTCTTTCAGCCTAACAATATATTTGCAAGCACATGGAGAAAAAATTTGCCTGCGTTTTTACAAGAACGACACATAGATATTTTTTTTTTCATCTTTTTTTCTTTTTTGTTTGTTTTTCTCCAACTTTTGCGAATAAATTTACAAGAAATATTTTTTTCTTTATCTCCTCGGACGAAAAAAGCCTACTGTGACTCGAAATTCATTTCGCATTTTGAGATGCGAAAAAACGGCTTATAGTATTTTTTTTATTTTTTATTTATTCATTATTTTTATAGTCGACGAAGTGATTTTATTTTTTAATGCTTTTTTAAACGATGAAACTCGTAAAATTTCTTAGTGCAACTTTATCTCTAAATATATTTACTATCTTTGATCCCAGAGATGCGGATTTTCTAATCTCAGGTACATCTCCATTGTACTCTATATACATTCCTCTAAAATTAAAAAAAAAAGAAAATAATATTCAGAAAATGGAAAAAATTTTAAGCCGACTAAAAAAATTTTTTCTTTTCAATTTAAATATTTAAATATTAAATAAAAATACGTACTTTAAATTATATTAACAATAATGATGATAATAATAATAATAATATAATAATAATTATAATAATAATTATTGTCAAATTAATTTTACGACAAATATTTAATATAAATTCAATTATTTTCAACGATTTTGATGTAATTCCTTTTTAAAAAATCATTATTTTCAAAAATTTTTTAATGAAATTCCTTAAAAAAATTCAATTATTTTCAAAAATTCAGATAAAATTCTTCGAAACAATTCAATTATTTTTATAAATTGTAAAATTCTTTACAAGAATTCAATTATTTTTTGTAAATAATAAAATTCTTCTGAAGAAATTCAATTATTTTCAGAGACAATTTTAATAAAATTTCTCTAACACATTCAATTATTTTCAAAAATTGTAATAAAATTTTTCTAAACAATTCAATTATTCTCAAGTTTTTAAGAAAATTCGTTGTAAATTTCAATAATTTTCAATTAAAATTATTTTCAAAAATTACATTATTTTTACCAAAATTTAATGAAATTCTTAAAAAAAAATGTAATTATTTACAAAATCTCTAATAAAATTGTTTAAAATAATTTAATTTTCCCTAGGATTTAATTAAAATTGTATTTAAAATAATTAAACTCCAGCGAAAATTTCATTATTTCTGAAAATAATTGAATTCTTGAATTGAATTTTCTAAAAAGTTTTTTTTAAATAATTGAACTCCAGCGAAAAATTTAATTATTTTTTTATAAAATAATTTTTTTTGCGAGATTTTTTACAAGATTTTTAAAGATAATTGAAATTTTCGAAAAATTCAATTAAAATCTTATTGAAAATAAGTGAAATCCTGATAAGAATTTTATTATTTATATGAAAAAAATAATTGAATTTTATACGAAGATTTTTATTATTTATAAATTGACTAAAGAATTTTATTACAATTATTGAAAATAATTGAATTCTTCATGAAATTCAATTATTTTCCAAATTTTCAGTAAAAATTATTGAAAAAACTCCACTATTTTCAAGAATATTGAAATAAATTTTTAAAAACAATTTAATTATTTTAAAAAGAAATTATTTCCAAGAATTAAATTATTTTTAAATCAATTTTAATTACATTCTCTCGAAAGAAATATTGAAAAAAAAATGTTGATAAAATTCTTGAAATGAATTCAATGATTTACAGTACATTAATTATTTGAACAATAATAATTTTCATTATAATAATAATTATTATTATTATTATTATTATTTTCGTTCAAAGCCGAAAAGCTTATTACTATCGTAATTTTTAATAAATAATAATAATTAATTATTATAATTATTATTATTTAATTGTTTCTATAGATAAACTATAAACAAAAATTGGAATGTCTTTTTAACGAAAAGTCTATAATTCGAAAAATTAAATCTCTCTGGGACGTGAAAGATAATTTTATAACATTTTTCTTGAATAAAAAAAATGAAAGATGTGCGAAAAACTCGGAATATCGAAATTCGATTCAATTAGAAATTTGCTTCGAACTCGAATCAAATTTAAATTGACTGAGAAAAATGATAACTAGAATAGTCCTTGTGACTCGTGAATAAATTATTTTTTCTTTTCCAACTTTAACGAGTAAAAACGAATTTTCAATAATTGCGCAATTGAATCAAAATTCAGAAATAAACAATTATTAACTATCGAATTTAACACCAAACTGTCACCAAACTGATTTGGAATTGATTTTGAATCCTAAGCAAAAAAAAAAAGAGAATGGATTTTAGAAAATTCAAAAAAATGTATTTTTGTTTAGAATCTAATTTTTGTTCTTTTTTTTTAAATGTAAATTAAAAGTGTGTTTGTGAGGGGAAAAAAAGGAGGCAATGTTCGAAAACAGTTTGGTTCCAAATGGGATGAAAACAAAAACGAAAACGATAACGAAAAAATGAAATGATTAATTATTTGAATTAATGATTTGAGAATTATATAAATATGAAACCAGCACATTTTTTTTGGGAGACGATAATTATACATAAATTGCATTATTGTAATAAATGCAAAAAACCGTCCTCGATGAGAGACGAGATTCTTGAATGAGAGAAAAGTTAGTTTCGCTGTTAAAGATCAATCGTGATCCGATGGACGTGATTTTTATCGGTTTACTCCTTGTTAGGTTGCTCAACGCATCGATTAACTGCAAAGGTTTTCAATAAGGTCTCAAGTTTACCGTTGATAATTTTTTAGTAATTCACTTTAACACCGAGCCTACCATGTTGTGGTCGCCAATGACAGCAGGCGAGATATAGAGCCAAAATGATGACCAAAACTTCGATGACCACCAAGCCAGCGCACACGCCAATTATTATCTCAGCATTATCCTCGACAGCTTGCACCAATCCATCGACGCATCCCTAAAAAAAATTACAAATATTATTAAAAATCATTAAAATAGTAAATTTAAAAAAAATTACCATTGAATATTATTAAAATTTATTCAAATAATAAATAAAAAAAACTACTAAATATTATTAAAAATCATTCAAATGATAAATAACAAAAAATAACAATTAAACATTATTAAAATCATTAAAATAATAAATTTGAAAAAAAAATTATTATTTATAAATAATTCTTATATAAAGATCTTTATTCATATTTTTCAAAATAATTAAATTTCTTTGCGAAAAATTAAACTAAAATCTTCAAAAATAAAGTTACTTTTTAAGTGAAAAATTTAATTAAAATATTATTACAAATGTTTCAATTCTTATGAAAAAAAAAATTGTATTAAAAATAATTGAATTCTTTTAAGGAATTTCATTGGAATTTTTTAAAATAATCAAATTTTAGGGGAGAATTTTATTAAAATTCTTTAACATAAATAAATTCCTGCGAAAATTTTTATAAATTATTGAAAATAAATAATAATTGAAATCTTGCTAAGAATTTTATTAAAATTTTCAAAAGTAATTGAATACTTTTCGAGAGATTTAATTAAAATTGTAGGTATTTAAAATATTTCAATTCTCATGAAGAATTTGATCAAAATTTTTCAAAAGAATTGAATTTTTGTTAAGAATTATATTAAATTTTTAAAAATAATTGAATTCTTTTAAAGTTTTGAGAAATTTTTATCAAAAATAATTGAATTCCTACAAATAATTTTATTTATTATGAAAATTTTATTAAAAATAATTGAATTTTGAAAATATTTCAATTCTCATAAAGAATTTAATCAAAATTTTCAAAAGAATTGAATTTTTGTCAAGAATTTTATTAAATTTTTAAAAATAATTGAATTCTTTTAAAGTTTTGAGAAATTTTTATCAAAAATAATTGAATTCCTACAAATAATTTTATTTATTATGAAAATTTTATTAAAAATAATTGAATTTTGAAGATATTTCAATTCTCATAAAGAATTTAATCAAAATTTTCAAAAGAATTGAATTTTTGTCAAGAATTTTATTAAATTTTTAAAAATAATTGAATTCTTTTAAAGTTTTGAGAAATTTTGTTAAAAATAATTGAATTCCTGCAATGAATTTTATTATTTATAAAAAAATAATTGAAATTCGTTAAAAATTCAATTATTTATTTAAAGTAAAAAAATAGTTTTCATTATTTCAATTCAATTATTTTCTAAAATTTTTATCTATAATTCTTCTCTGATTCAATTATTTTAAATAATTTTTTCTTAAGAATTCAATTATTAATTTAAAATTTAATTAAAAAAAAAAAAATTCATCCAAAATATTTCTGAAATTCAATTTTTTAAATTCTTCTCAGAAATTTAATTAAAATGGCAATCAGAATAATTGAATTATTATAAAGAATTTTCGAAACAATTTTTAATAATAATTGAATTCTTTTGAAAAATTTTATTAAAATTATCTTAAAAATAATTGAATTTATGAGAAAAAAAATGAAATTTTTTCTTATAAAGAATTTTCTTAAAATTTTTGCGAAGAATAATATATTAAAATTCTTTAAAATAATTAAATTCTTATAAAGCATTTGATTAATTATGAAAATAATTCAATTCCTTTGAAAAATATATGAATTTATGAAAATAATTGAAATGTTGCTGACAAGTTAAATAAAATTTTCGGAAATAATTGAATTTTTGCGAGGAATTTAATTAAAATTGTATTGAAAATATTTCAATTCTCATAAAAAATGTAATGAGAATTTTTCAAAAGAATTGAACTCTTGAGAAGAATTTTATTAAAATTCTTCCAAATAATTCAATTCCTTTGAAAAATTTTATGAATTTATGAAAATAATTGAAATCTTGCTGAAAATTTAATTAAAATTTTTGGAAATAATTGAATTTTTGCGAGGAATTTAATTAAAATCGTATTGAGAAGAATTTTTTTGACCAATTTAATTAAAATTGTAATGAAAATAATTCAATTCTTATACAGAATTTTAATTAAATTCTTTCTGAGAAATTTGATTAATTTTTTTTTCAAGTAATGAAATTGTTTTGAAGACTTTTATTAAAGTTGAATTTTAAAAAATTTTGTTTCAGAAATTATTCAAAAATTTGAAGTTGATATTTGAAAATAATAATAAAAAAATCTTTATAAATGAAAAAATAAGAGAAAGTAAATAAAAATATCTACATTATTTTACAAATGTAAAATCAGTAAAATGACGAAATAAAAGTTTTGAAAAACGTGAAACAAAGTACGCAAATAATCACTGTAATTACGGACAATTTTAATGAGAACAATCAGAATATAGTTCATCAAAGTCGAAGCTGCTTGCATAATGAAGACACATTATGGAAAGCTGCAGGTTTAAGATAAGCCATTAATTGAAAGCGAGTAGATTACAATGAAAAATGCCTCTATTACGATGGGTATAATATATAAAAGAAAAATTTCATTTCGCAATTAGTTCATTAAACTTGTTCAATCAATTCAAAGTAATTTCCTTAATCAGCATAAACAAATTTTTTTTATACATATTTTTCAAGTGTAACTAAATTTTTTTTCTTGTTCTTCATTTTTATTCATTCTTCATTAAAATTATTTCTTGAAAATAATTTTTCAAGAAATAATTTTTCAATTTTCCAAAAAAACTGTTGTAACAAAAAAAAAAAAAAAAAAAAAAAAGAAAAAGAAAAAGTGTAAGAAAAGTAGCATTTTATGAAAATAAATAGAAAAAAATTGCACTTTTTGAAAATAGTCGAAAAAGTTGAGTCTGACTACTATAGAAATAAATAAATGAATTTATTTTTAATTAATTAATTTTTATACAAAATAAAAAAAAATAAATTTTGTTATGAAAAATAATTAATAAAAAAAAATAATAATACTAATATAAACGTTTACTATCCAAACTTTTTGGAATTTTAATAAACTTACCTGCATATAAGCGTTATCATTTGTTGGATGAAGAGGACAATTTTGATCCAATAAACGTCCACCTCCTCTTTTACAGCAAGATTCTGGAACTATTTTTCCTTGCCTGTTCCATTTCGTAAGACCATCAAAACTTTTATAAGATTTGGAACCGCAGCAATGGAACTAGACACAAATAAATCAATCAACAATTAATGACAAATCAAAAAAATTAAAAATAAATTATTTCTGTAATTTTTCAATTAAATTATTTAAAAATCAAATATTAAAAACTTTTAATTTGAAACCTTGCGAAATTTAATTATTATTAAACTAGAATTTTTATAGAATTTTGTTAAAATTTAATATTTTTTACTACTTTAGTTAAAATTAAATCAAAATTAATTATTTTCATTACAATTCTCCAGCAATTTAAATTTTCAAAATTTATAATAGAAACCTTTTGAAAATTAATTATTTTTGTAATTTTTCATTGAAATTATTTAAAAATCTAGTAAAATTTAATTAATAAAAAAAATTTCTACCTTCACTACTCTTACAATTATTTTCAATTATTTTCTAGAATTTATAATGAAAATTCTCCTCTAAATGAAATAATTTTAATTCTCCATTTCAATTTCAATTTAATTAAATTTGTTTTCAATTAATTAATTTCGTTTTGCAATTTAAATTTTCAAAATATTTTTTAATTTTATGGATGATAATTTATTATTTGATAATTTATTGATACATTGATAATTAATTAATTAATTAAAATAATTTAATTAATTAATTTAATTTTAATAATTAAATTTCACAAGGTTTCAAATTAAAAGTTTTGAAAATTTAATTTTTAAATAATTTAAATTAAAAATTTTTAAAAATAATTGATTTTCAAATAGTTTTAACAATAATTTTGAAAATTCAAAAAATATGATTGAAAATAAATTATTTTTGAAATTTTTAATTAAAATTATCCAAAATTCAAATTAATTGCTGATTTACCTGAGTCATGATTTTATCCCATAAAATCGTCGGGGCATCTACATTTCCCGTATAGGATTCAAGAGTCGAATCTGCCAACTTTTCTATCTCATTCCGGGCCTGTAAAAATTTTTCCCATTAAAAGAAATAAAAAATAACAATTAAAAATTAACAATTTCAAAAAAAAAAACAATAATAATAATGATAATTTTCATTAAAAAATTTTCGATTTGATACATTTTTCTTTATGGAGTTGAATAATATTGAAAAATTTGGACTATTTTTTAAATATAAAAACCAAAGTGAATAATTTCTTACCAGCAACAACTGCATTAAATGACTTGAGTTTTTTAAAAGGAAAAGAACAATTTGAAATTACTCGGAAAAATAGGCAGTTAAGATTATTTCGTAATAGAAGGGGAAATATTCAATCTTTCAAGGAAACTTACGTCTCCTTTGAGTTCAAAAGCAAGTCCAACAACCACACATTCGAGAATAAGAACAATCAGGATCAGAACGCCGTACTGAAAATTAAAAACAAAATTAACATTTTGTGATTTTAAAGAAACTATTTCTAATAAATAAATAAATTATTTCTAAATAATTCAAAATATTGACGAATTAAATTCAGAATTAATTACAATATTTTAATCGATGAAATTTTTTTAAAAATAAAAATTTAGTTGTTGAAAAATTTTTTGAAACTAAATTTTTAATTAAAAATGTTTTGAAAAATTTATAAAATAGGTGGAAATAGGTGAAAATTATTGACGAATTGAATTCAGAATTAATTATAAGATTTTAATCGTGGAAATTTTTATAAAAATGAAAATTCAACTGTTGAACAATTTTTTTTTAACTAAATTTTTAATTTTAAAATGTTTGAAAAATTTACAAAATAGGTGGAAATAGGTGAAAATTAACGAAATATGAGACAAAATTTAAAAAAAGACAAAAATTGAAAATGTGACTGTGAACATAAAAATACAAAAAACATCTAATTTTTTTTTTTATAGTGTCAATTAAAAAAATTTATGCGAAAATAAAATACAAGAAACTCACGACACACAGGAGACATCGAGATTCGAACATTGCTCCACAATATCCAAGAAAACTGATAAAGAATGTCAGCGCTCCGACAATAATTAAAATGTAGGAAATTATCTCGAGAACATGAGCATCTGTCTTATTCTGAAACATAAAAATTAAAATTACATACATATTAATAAATAAATTCAACAACTTTCATTAATTAGAAAATAACAAATAGTAATTAAAAATTAGTATTTCATTTATTAATGTTATGCAAATTCAAAACAAATTTTTAACTTCAATTTTGAAATAATTTGAGATTCAAAATAAAAAAATTTAATTACTAACTAATTTAATTAATTTAATTAATTTAACTAATTTAATTTAATAAAATTCTTCGCAGGAATTAAATTATTTTCAATACAATTTCAATAAAATGTCTCAAAAGAATTCAATTATTTTGAAAAATTTGATCAAACTTCTTCTGAAATATTCAATTATTTTGTAAAATTTAAAAAAATTATATTTATTTTTATAATTAATAATATTTCTCGAAAGAATTGAATTATTTAGAAAAAAAAGAAAATTATGAGATTTTTCGCAGAAATTCAATTATTTTCCAAAATTTCGATAAAACTCTTTGTAAGAATTAAAAATATTAAAAATATTATTTGAATAAAATTTCTCATAATAATTAACTTATTTTTAAAGATTTCAATTACATTTTTCGCCAGATTTCAATTATTTTTTTATAAATAATAAAATTCTTTACAGGAATTCAATTATTTTCAAAAAAAAAAATCTCAAAACTTGAAAAGAATTCAATTATTTTTAAAAATTTAATAAAATTGAAATTATTATGAAAAATTTTGATTCAATTCATTATGAGAGTTGGAATATTTTCAATACAATTTTAATTAAATTCCTCGCGAAAATTCAATTATTTTCGAAAATTTTAATTAAATTTTTAACAAGATTTCAATTATTTTCATAGTAAATAAAATTCTTTGCAGGAATTCAATTATTTTTTATAAAATTTCTCAAAAAATTTAAAAGAATTCAATTATTTTTAAAAATTTGATAAAATTCTTGCCAAAAATTCAATTCTTTTAAAAAATTTTGATTTAATTCTTTATGAGAATTGAAATATCTTTAAAATAATTTTAATTAAATTCTTCGCAAAAATTCAATTATTTTCGTAAATTTTAATTAAATTCTTAGCAAGATTTTAATTATTTTCAGATTTTATCAATTTTTTTTTTTTTGCAGGTATTCAATTATTTAAAAACAAGTTAAATAAAATTTTTCGGAGAAATTCAATTATTCAATTCAATTATTAAAAAAAAAAATTAAGTAAAGTCCTTCGGTGAAACCAAAAAAAAATTATTTTTAAATAAATATTTCGCAAGATTTCAATTATTATCCCAATAATAAAATTTTTCACGAGAATTCAATAATTATTTAAAAAGAATTAAATAATATTCTTTTGAGAAATTCAATTATTTTTCATAAATAAAATTTCTTCTCAGAAATTCAATTATTTTCCCAAATAATAAATTTTTTCCAGCTACTTTTTAATTACTTTTTTCAGTATTGAAGCAACTTTTCGATACTTTTTTAAAATTAATTATTGAGTGCGAAGCAAAAAAAAATTCTAAAGCAAAAAAAGTCAGTTATAAATTATCAATCATTTTTCCTAATTCAAATTTTTGAGAGTCAAAATAATAAATTGATTTTGGCATAAAAATAAGAGAAAAATCGCAAAGAAGAAATCGAGATCAATGTACTTTTATAGATTAGAGAAGATAATTTCATTTCAAGAAGTGTGATGAAAGATATAGATAATGACTTCCTGAACTTTAAAATAATAGGCGCATTTTAAAACTTTTCCTTATTCGCGAAAGTATATTTTGTAGCTTTTCTCATTTATTTTTCTTTAATTATTTTTGTAAACACTGAAATTTTACATTTTAGTATCACAATTAGTTTTAATCTTTGTTTTGCATCTTTTATATTTTGAATAAAACAAAATTTGAGATGATAAACAATTTTTATAATATTCAACTACTTTTAATAATTTATAAAACACGATTTTTAGAATTACAATTATAGTAATTAATAAAATCAATTAATTTAATTATTAGTAATTAATAAAAATCGATTAATCTAATTATTAGTAATTAATAAAATTTATTAATCTAACTAATCTAAAACTAATTGATAATAATTATTTAAATTATTTAAATTGAAATTAAAAAAAAAATTGAAATACCAATTTTGCAGCTGATGTAACATTCACGCAGTTTGTTTGAATTAGCAGTATACATAGTCATCCAATCAGGGACTTTCACTGATTCAAATTTAGAGAGCGAGTGTCGGAATTCAATTTAAGTTCTAAATTTACTCAAATTATTGATATAATAAAAACTTTTAAACAATTTTAAAAAAAAAACTTTCTTTTGTTATAACAAAAAAAAATAGTTTTTTTTTACTTCCAAGTAATTTTTTAGATCTCATTTTACATTTTTTCTTTTTTTTTACAAAGTTTTATTTTACTTTGTAAAAAAAATAAAACTTTGTATTTCGAGGAATATTTAATTAGAAAATTTTCCCAATATACTAATTTATAGCTCTGATTTCCGAGAATTTTAATTAGTCTAAAATAGATACCGACGAGTGGGAGAGAATTGAAAGATTTAATACATTATAAGCAAACTGCTAACGTATCTTTATAATGCAACTGTGAAAACACACGAGAGAGAGAGAGAGAGAGAAAGGATTATAATTTTTTAATTCTGCTGACGTAAAAAAAGAACCGTGTTTGACTATTTTTATCTGTCTCACTGAGTGTACATGCAAGACGCTAAAAATAACCTGAAGAGCATTCAACAGGTCTTGACAGAATCTTCCAACAGGTGTATTGTTTAACTCAATGAGAGAAATTTTCATTTATTTTCAATTTTTTTTCATTTATAATGCAATTTTTTTTTATTTCCTCTTTTCTGGATTTTTAAATTAAAAATTCAATTCTACTCACACGGAATAATAGAAAGTTTACGTTTATTATAAATTCTGATATTAATTTAAATTTATACCTTCCTTCTTCTCTAAATTGTTATCAATATGAAATATTTATTATTTATTATCTATTATCTATTATTCATTAATTATAATTAAATACTCGCAAAGAATTTGATTAATTATGAAAATAATATTCCATTCTCATAAATAAATTATCAACATTTTTTTAAGTAATTGAATTTCTGCGAGGAATTTTATTAAAATTCTTTAAAATAATTAAATTCCTCCAAAAAAAAATTTATAAAATATGAAAATAATTGAAATGTTGCTAAGAATTTAATTAAAATTTTCGAAAATAATTGAATTTTTGCGAGCAAATTTAATTAAAATTATTTTTAAGATATTTCAATTCTCATAAAGAATTTAATCAACATTTTTTAAAAGAATTGAATTTTTGTCAAGAATTTTATCAAATTTTTAAAAATAATTGAATTCTTTTCAAGTTTTAAGAAATTTTATTAAATATAATTGAATTACTGCAAAGAATTTTATTATTTATAAAAAAAAATAATTGAAATCTGTCGAAAAATTTTAAAATATGTTAATTTTGACGAGAAATTTTATTGAAATAATATTAAAAATATTTAAATTCTTACAAACAGTTTTATCGAAATTTTGGAAAATAATTTAATTAAATAATTGAATTCCTGCAAAAAAAAAAAAAAAAAAAAAATTGATAAAATCTGAAAATAATTAAAATCTTGCTAAGAATTTCATTAAAATTTACGAAAATAATTGAATTTTTGCGAAGAATTTAATTAAAATTATTTTAAAGATATTTCAATTCTCATAAAAAAATGTAATCAAAAATTTACAAATTAATTAAATTTTTGAGCAGAAGTTTGATAAAATTTTTCAAAATAATAATTGAATTCTTTCCAGACATTTTATTAAAATTGTATTAAGAATAATTGAATTTCTGCGAAGAAGTTTATTAATTATGGAAATAATTCAATTCTCATAAATAATTCATCAAAATTTCTTTAAGTAATTGAATTTATGCAAAGAAATTTATTAAAATTCTTTAAAATAATTAAATAATTTGAATTTTTGCGAGCAAATTTAATTAAAATTATTTTGAAGATATTTGAATTTTCATAAAGAATTTAATCAACATTTTTTATAAGAATTGAATTTTTTGCAAGAATTTTATCAAATTTTTAAAAATAATTGAATTCTTTGAAAGTTTTGAGAAATTTTATTAAAAATAATTGAATTCCTGCAAAGAATTTTATTATTTATAAAAAAAATAATTGAAATCTTGCGAAAAATTGAATTAAAATTTTCGAAAAAAATTGAATTTTCGCGAGGAATTTAATTAAAATTATATTGAAAATATTTCAATTCTCATAATGAATTGAATCAAAATTTTTCATAATAATTTCAATTTTATCAAATTTTTAAAAATAATTGAATTCTTTTCAAGTTTTGAGAAATTTTTTTTTTAAATAATTGAATTCCTGCAAAGAATTTTATTATTTATAAAAAAATAATTGAAATCTGGCGAAAAATTTAATTTAAATCTTTAAAAATAAGTTAATTATTATGAGAAATTTTATTCAAATAATATTAAAAATATTTAAATTGTTACAAAAAGAGTTTTATCGAAATTTTTGAAAATAGTTGAATTCCTTTGAAAAATGTTATAATTAACTTTTTTTTAAATATAATAATGAAATTCTTTCGAGAAATATTATTAATTATAAAAATAATTGAATAACTTATTAAAATTTGACAAAATAATTGAATTTTTGGTAATAATTTGATCAAATTTTTCAAAATAATTGAATTCTTTTGAGACATTTTATTGAAATTGTATTGGAAATAATTTAATTCCTGCGAAGAATTTTATTAAAGTAAATTAGTTAATAATTAAATTTTTTTATTTTAAATCTCAAATTATTCCAAAATTGAATTTAAAAATTTGTTTCAAATTTGCATAATATTAATATTATAAATTCTTATTAGATAATTGAATTCTTGTGAAAATTTTTATTAAAATTGAGAAAATAATTGAATTTTTGTGAAGAATTTTGTTCAAACTTTTAAAAGTAGTAATAATTGAATTGTTAAGAAGT